ATGAAGGTATTTTTACCAGTGGCTCCTGGGGATAACATATGGAAAATTCGATTTTACTTATGTTACCCTAAAATGTAATTTTCCATTTGCGACACTAAAGCCAATATGTTTTCTTGCTACCGACGTTGTAGATTTTAGCCGATGGGCTTGTTTGGAATAATCGCCCAAAATCTCGATTTTTCCTTACAAGATTACGCTCTTATTTCAAACCTTTGGCCACTTTCAACACCCCCTTCTTTGTTTTACGAGGCCAGGTTGTATTAATTCATCCTTTGGTGAACACGGCTAGAAAATATTAGGACGTCTTCCATTTCTGTTAGGGAAAATCGAATTTTCCATATGTTATCCCCAGGAGCCACTGGTAAAAATACCTTCATCCTACTCAAAATCGATGTACTTTTCAATCCTCTTCGAGGCTTGTATGCAAAAATGGGGCACCTGAATATGTCACTATCTGACGGTCTATATTTAATGAGAATAACAATGCAGGATGATATGAATCCTCAGGTACCAGATGTTGGTCAGATTTGCCAACAGACAACACTACATCTGACATAACTAAATCTAAACATCTATTCATAAAATTATTCACATTATTAACTTGAGCTATATTATGCATATTTAGGAACTCTTGTACCAATAAACTTTTCTCAATATCACAGTTCAAGTTCAGTTCAGTATAGGAATATTAAAATCACCAACTACTAAGAAGCTATAGTCCTCATTATGCATCATTATGTCATCAAACATATCAAAGTAGCTCTGATAATTCTCTACTTTAGAATTTGGTGGAAAATATACCATAGATATGTAAATAATTTATTTTTTTAAGCTTAACTTTAATTACCAGATACTCGACATCACAATTTGCAACATTGACAATTTCATAGGGAACATTCTTCTTGAGAGCTAGGATGACACCCCCACCAATGCCTGTATTTGAGTCACGATCTCTTCTAATGATAGAATACCTTGAATCAAAAAGTTCAGAATCATAAATAGACTCACACAACCAAGACTCAGAAATAGCAATCGTTGTGTGGTCCTCTGATAATAAATTTGTATAAAAAATCTCTGTTTTAGTTCTCAGTCCCCTCACATTTTGGTAATATACTGTAAACTCTGATGTTTGTTTTTTTAGTCTAGAGGAGCACTCGCTAGGGGATCTGGATGCGTCCTCTTCCTCATTAAAAAACGAGATACAATTGCACCACTAGGCCAGATTTATTTCCCCCAGGCACTATGAAAGTTGTCTTGTTTGATTGTAACTTTCATAGACGAATATAACATTGGATGCTTCGATATAATATGCTCTTTACACTTTACTTCTGGGAAATATCGAGCAAGCATATTCTTTAGGTCTTCCGGCTTTGTATTTGGACTCAGCCTTGTCACATGCAAAGAGGTGTATTTAGGCACAGCCTGCACATATGAGTCTGTTTCATTACAACCAACAACATATCTTCTGTTGTTCCTACGTTGAACTCTTTGCCATCCTCTATCTTGATTCTCATCGTTTTCATTCCCCAGATGCTGTAATTCATTTTATTACGAGTCTGGGCCTCCAAAACAGCACTGTTTACCATTCTACGATTAATCAATGGTAACCCCACTTGTTGTTGATTTGTTTACCTCTTCGTCCCTCGCATTTCTACAACACGCTGGACATAAAACTAGATTTTTACTGGCACTTATTACTTTGTGAGCCAGTCATTCGCATTCCACATGACTGATGGTACACTACTTTACACATATTACACTTAACACCAATTTTTTCAGCATTACTCTTGCAGTATTTGCACTTTCTATTCTCAACGTCTAAAACGTCTTCTTCATTCGACGCCATCTTGTTAGGTATTCTCACGACGCATGTCCAGTACGCTACTGTTGCTCGATCGATTATTCTTTTTAAATGTGAGCTCCTTTTGATCTAGGACAACGCCCATATATTTGACTTCACTTGAAAGGCCTATGTGTATTCCATCCAGTGTTGGAGCTATTAAGGTGATCTTCCTTTTCTTTGTGGATGGTACAATTATTGTCTTGCTAGGATTCACCCTTAGACCCTCTTGCAAGCACTAGATTTTGATGATGTTGAGGGCATTCTGCATGAGTTCACTAATGATCCTATCATGCTTGCTTCTAATGATGACTGCATATCCTAGAACCATAAATCCATGGTCACTTAGTATGTTTAAAAGGTCATCTATTACTATGGACCATGGCAGTGGGGATAAAACACCCCCTTGGGGGCACTCCTTGACTACTAGGACCATCGCTGAGTCGCTTCCGAAAGTTGCTTTAATTTTCCTATCCTATAGCATAGTTTCAATCCATGTGATTGTAGTGTCTTCAAAGCCTTTGTTTTCTGCCGCCTTTCTTATGGACTCATAAGAGATGTTATCAAATGCACCCTCTATATCAATGAACGCACAGAGAACGGTTTTTTGGTTGGAGTGTGCCTTTTCAATCCTATTGACAAGGCTGTGTGGGCTGTTTCCGTTGATTTGCCTGCTTGATTGGCATATTGGTTTTTGTGGAGCGATTTATCGGTTACGAATTCGCTTCTTATGTGTAAATCAATGATTTTCTCCATGTTTTTGAGGAGAAACGAGGTTAGGCTGATGGGTCTGAACAATTTGGGCTGGAATGTTTCTCAACCTAGTAGGTAGAGCTTTGAATATTATTGCTAGTGGAGCTATAAGTTCTTCTAATCCTTGTTGTAGGAGAGCTGAAAAAATTCTGTCTTTTCCTGGTGATTGTAGGGCTGAAAATTGTTTATAGCCCATCTTATTTTTTCGGTTGCTTGGGCGTGAGACGCCCTTAGCCACCGAAGCTCTGTTGCCATTTAGCTCACACTCTACAGAGTCTGGGAAGTGCGATTGCAGGAGCAGGTTCACACTCTCTAATCTACTCTCTGTGTAACTACCATCAGGTTATTGCAGTAGTGCAATGCCGTTTGCGGGTTGTTGTAGTAGTTTTTGCAGATAAAATTGTAAATTTGTTTTGCACACTATAATCATACAGTTTCCTATGTACAGTTTTTGAATAATCAAAGAAGCTTCAAAATTGAATTTATTGAACATTGAAAATTTTCCAAAAATGACACTGAGACAGTTTCTGGCTCACGGCTCCATTAATCATCATTCGATTACAATGTAATGAGCTCTAATCAAAGCCAAATAAATTCTTTACAAACCTGTTAAGTTATGTTTTCAACAGTTTTACACCTAAGAAGCTTCAAAATTGAATTTATTGGACATTAAACATTTTCCAAAAATAATACCGAGACAGTTTTTACCTTACAGCTGCAAAAATTTTGATCCAATTTCAATGTAATTAAACTCTAATTAAAACCAATTGAATTCTCTACAAACCTGTTTATTAAGATTGCAATTTAGTTTCTACAGTTTTGCAGCTGGGAAGCTTCAAAATTGAATTTATTGAACATTGAAAATTTTCCAAAAATGACACCGAGATAGTTTTTGCCGTTTATTTTCATCTAATTTCAATGTAATTAAGCAAACAGGCCCCATCTCAGTCATAAATAAAGTGTCTTTCTTTAAATGAACACCGTGTTTTTCAATTCAAGCCCCCAGTTACTTCAAATTGATTGATCATTATCAATTTTTTTTTAGGTGTCCTTTCACTTGATCCACAAACGACGAAATTGTTATTTGTGTGGTACCATAATTAATGGGTTTATGTTAATAATGTGGTCCATAGCTTATGAATTAGGTACTGAATACAGTCCTCATATAACTTCAAAACGCAAATCGTCCTTTCTCTATTTTATTTCTTATAGAATACTAAAGTGAATGGTAAAGTACTTTTTTTAAATTGACCATCAATAATCATAATTATGGGTTCCTGTATTTTAAATACTCAGTACTTTCAAACGAGTAAGTACTTACATTTGTACTATTCAAAATTAGTTCCCACCATAAACAGGATTAAGCTGAAACATGATGTGGTACTATTCGTCATTACAGTTGAGTTGATGGTATAATAAAGGCAGTACCACGCCTAACCCATTTCTCCGGTCATTCTTATATTATATGAAAGTGAAAATAATAATTTATGTATTTGTAACTTCCTGCTAGTGTAAAACTGGTTAATACCCCGCAGATTATCTCAATTTACGTATTAAAATAATCAAAGGATTGCTATAATTAAAATCGCCGCTTGTGGGTTAATAATCTACGTTGATGGTAAATGCTTCCGAAGATGTTTGAGGAATTTACCTCGAGGGGATCAATATAATTAAGATACATTTTAAGATTGTAGGTATTATTAATTTATTTTTTTTGAGAAATTTGAATGTGATGGAAATTAAGAATAATTATTTGTACAGATGTCTAATATTCTGAATGTAGGTACTCTACAAGCATATTCCTTTTATAATAAATCCAACGTTATTCAACAGATGCTGCACCTGAGAGAAAGCTAAAACGACTCCTAGATATTATTAGATTAAACTTTGGTAGTTGAAATATAGGAGACACTACTTGTTACTAGAAATAGTTTTTTTTATTAGTTTAATAAAAATCACCTACTAAATTTTGTTGTCACTAATCTTAGTCTGTCTGAATCCTTGTTCAGTCAAGACTTTTGATGTGATCAATAACTACAAATTTCACTCATAAATTATTGATACTGGCAGCCTGTTAGCTTAGCCCTGAAGGCTCTATCTTAATCCAGGAATGTTGCTAAACAGATATTCCGAATAATTTATGGAGCTGGTGTCTGGGAGGGAAATCCATAGATCATGCGAATATATTGCCAGAATGTCAACGAAGAGCTTAATTTATTTTTCTGTAATATTTTTAACCAATAAGTTTCCATTTTCAAAGTCAGCAAAAAAAGAACACAAACATTATTTCAACCTTCCTGATACTTAATTACTTCAAAAGACTAATGACTGGAACAATTTGCTGACACTTACAAGGGTTTAGGAAGAGTTATTATTTTGAGGGACAATAAATAACTTTTTGTGTTTTTTATGTAGGTACCTGGCCACTTATATCCAGAAGAAAAAAAAGTTGAAACAGATTTATGATGTTAATTAGAAGCTGTTTATTCTTGAATGAACAATTAAAAATCATTAAATACCCCATTTATACGATTAATAAGTATCCAAAGGCTCCACAGCATATTTTTCATAAAGACTATCCCAAAAAGCCATCCTAGCTGCCTTGGGCTTCGTCCCTTGTACAACAACAAAGTCCGTATTATCATAATCCCCAATATTGACGTAATTGAAACTACCAACTTGGACTTTGGGCCAGGAAAGATTCTGTAGAAGATCGTCTGCAGTTGGAGTTGGAGTACTATAAAACAAATCAATTCAATATCAAACCGAATGTCACACAATAACTTACTGATATTTAGCAAAATTAGTCCAAAGTCTTATCATCCTTCTAGAAACAAGCTGATCATTTTCTGGATAATGAGAAGGCGGAGCCCAGTTGAAAATGTAGCCATACTCTCCAACGTGAGAGACGTTTCCAGAACCTGGATACGTAGGGTGATCGCCAGTCATGCTGCCAGTATAAGAAAACTCATAGAAATACACGTCAGTATGCTGACTTTGCAACTCAGCATTTTTAGTCATAGACTTGGCAAAGTCCTGCTCGGTAAAAAACTTGATAGCTTCCAGCTTGTTGTCCATAAAACTGGAATTGGACAAGTACTCTTGCTTGATAAAACCTCCAACTTCACTCCACAAGTTTTTGTCCTCGATGTGCATGTTTTGAGGCACCAACCAACTAGAATTGCGATCGTAGCCTTGCAAATAGTAGTCCAAATACTCTGGATATTATAAAAAATAAATACATAAAATGCTAGATGATTTATTTAACATACGATCAACACTCATAAGTCCTTCCTCAGAACAAATCCCCAAAAGTATCGGTACTTTATTGATGCGGCCATCCCTGATGGCGCCGTATTGGTTCTCGGGTACTATTGGGTTCACACTGGCAGCATCCACAACTGGAGCGAAGTAAAATCCTTGCCGTATTTGGACATTGCCTATAGCATCTGGTTGGCTCGAAACCTAAACAACTAGATTATTTATGAAATAAATATAAACACATCTTACCCAATTAGCGAAATTAAGTGCAGCTACATCAATTTTTTTAGCGTCAACGCTTTGCAACAAATTCAACAAAGCTTGCGAATCAGAATTCGAATCAAAATGAGAATCAACAAAGCTACCAGTTTTGAATGAGTACTCTTTAGCATGCCTCTGATAGCCCCATGGTACTAAAGCGTTGCCAGATTCCATTATGGCAGCGGAAAAAAGACCAGAAGCCTGAGGACTCTGGATTAGGTAGCCAACTGATGAGCCACCAGCCGATTGGCCCAAAATCGTGACTTTATTGGGGTCACCTCCAAATGAGGCAATGTTTTTCTGGATCCATTTTAAGGCTAGGATTTGGTCGCTTAGGCCAGCGTTGCCAGGAATTACACTGTCATTAGTGGATAAGAATCCTAAAATTGATTCCTTGAAAAAAATTTGTTTTTTTCCAAGTTGTAGTGGTACTTACCAAATACACCTAACCTGTAATTGAACGAGACAAAGATGACGTCTTGTTGGACTAGATATTTCGGGTAGCCGCCGCTTGTAACCAATCCGGAGCCGGATATGTAACCGCCACCGTGAATATTGATCATTACCGGGTAGTTTTGACTTGTGACGTTTGGGTTCTGAAAACATTAACATTAGTAATGCCGCGAAATATGGATCAATGACCCCATATATCCGGAAACGAATCTCCTCAACAATTCTACGAAAAATTTATGGAACTACTTCGAAACTTAGAACTCCACCATAATAATCCAGATGTCAAAACAAGTAAGAAACTTTTCTTCCATCAACAGACGCTTTTCACATTCATGGCAGGACTAAAAGAACTATTGAGATCAACTCTTAAAGCTATGCGGCCCAGCGATTTAGCAATGCAATTAATCCAGGAGGAAAACAACATCAGATACCTCCAAAAAGGCTTCTCCATTCCACAATCTAGTGGCTCAAAAATAAACCAACACAATCAGAAGCAGATAGTGTTCCAATCCAGCTAGACTTTCTCGCAACCATTCCAGTCGAAACAATTCAAACCTCAAAATTTTGTCCAACAGCAGTTGTGGCCCTCTTCTCCATTCCAGAGAACATCACAGCAATACAGATCCCCATTCAACCAGACTAGACAGCCTATTGTACAACCTGCACGATTCCAGACTCCTCGACCCCAATTTAATGTCTGGCAAGATACTCCAAACTGCACACTTCCGCACCCAACACCAATGAGCACTACATCAAGAGCCACCATAAAAGTTCTACAACAATCTGCTAAAAAATTCAATGTGGATGAATTATTTAATATTGAACAACACGAAAACACCCAGGATAACTATCACTATAATGGATACACCAATCCAGAAATGGACAATGATTACTATGAGCCATTCATCAGTACAATTTTTCAAAATTATTCTCAGGACTATTGTGCTCACATTCCGGTGTTTCCAGAATTCAACTCAAATGAGAAGGCACCACAGATCTAATTTCTCAAGAATTTCCGTCACCGCATGGTAAGATTCCTGAAATCAGAACCAGTTACCTAAATTCAGAGGAAGAAAAAGCAATACAAAATTTATGTAGGAAGTATGCAACCATTTTCCATTATCCAGATATGTCCCTGACCTTTACAAACCCAGATCACACCATATTGATGAGATTCCGGTGTACACCAAGTCATAGATATCCACATATTCATAAAGAGGAGGTGAAAAACCAGTTGGATCAAGGAATTATCAGACCAAGCTAATCACCGTGGTCTTCCCCGATATGGATAGTTCGTGGCAAATAGTAGTGGACTATAGGAAAGTAAATGAGAAAAGAATCGACGATAAATACCCAATCGCAGACATAACAATCATCCTGGACAAACTTGGTAGATACCAATACTTCACGACCTTGGATTTGGCAAGAGGGTTCCACCAAATCGAAATGGCTAAGGAAGAAACATGCAAAACTGCTTTCAATGTCGAAAATGGCCATTACGAGTATGTCCGGATGCCGTTTGGACTGAAAAACGCTCCAGCTACATTCCAGAGGGTAATGGATAACGTTTTGAAAGGCCTCCAAGGAGAAAATTGCTTAGTGTACATGGACGATATTATTGTGTTCTGCACGCATCTAGTTGATTTTTCAAAAATCTTTCAAAAATCTTTCAACTGGATTCAAAATTCAAATAGACAAATGCGAGTTCCTAAAAATGGAAGTTGCCTTTCTTGGACATATTGTTACACCAGAAGGAATAAGACCAAATCCGGTTAAAATTAGAGCCATACTTGACTATCCAATACCGCAAACCACGAAGGAAATCCAGGGATTTCTAGGCCTCCTTGGATATTACAGGAAGTTTATCAAGGACTTCGCTAAAATTACTAAACCTCTAACTTCCTGCCTCAAAAAGAACACTAAAATAGATGACACTGGAATTTTTGAAGTGACAAATTAACCTCTTCTGCAATATCCAGACTCCAGCAAATCTAACTACTGATGCTAGCAATTATGCAATTGGAGCTATACTATTCCAAGGACGAATCGGCAGCGATAAGCCCATTGCATACGTCTCCAAGACACTCAACGAAACCTAGTTGAAATATTACCCCATTGAAAAGGAAATGTTAGCCATAATCTGGGCCACCAAGTACTTCAGTTCAAGATACTTTCAAATCACCGTCCTCTCCAATGGCTTCTTTCCATGAAAGATAATAGTTCCAAAAAAGTTAGATGGCGCTTAAAGTTGGAAGAGTTTGATTATGAGATAACCAATAAGAAAGGAAAATCAAACACCAATGCAGATGCTCCATACCAAAGAAATAGCCCAGCCACCACAAGACGAAGATGACGCATCTTTGTACAGCAATATAGAGTCAATCCTCGACAAAGACGGAGTTCTAGAGAAACTCGCTTCGCAAGCGAATATACAAAAGGACATCACTGAAATCCTTGGTAATTCAGAACCCACAGAAGCCGACCCGGAAGAAGATAACGAAACTAGACACACTGCTCAGGCAGAACCTATACTCGGCATTCCGATAAGTGAAAGAGCCCTTAACTACTACAATAACCAAATTGTACTCAAGTCTGTCAATAATTATAATCCAGCAGAGCCGATAATAGAAGTAGCCTTTCCTAACAAATCCAGGCAACATGTCCAAGTGAGCAAGAATAACTTAGAAGGAAGCTTTATAAAGTGTCTTAAAGAAAAAAAAGAACGCAAAAAGAAGTATGCAATACTTTTCAAGGACGAAGATCTTTATATGTTCCTCCATGCAACATCCTTGAAGAAACTTTCAAAAATTCTGCATTCGACTTTATCAAAGGCAAATTTCTTCTAGAAGACGTCAACAGCAAAGAAAAACAAAGTGAAATAATGCAGGCTTACTATCCAGGGATTTTTCCAACACCGACTAGACCGTTGGAATTTATTCATCTAGATACTTTTCAAGCTGGAGGGCAAAAGTTTTCAACAATTATTGATTCTTTCTCAAAATATGGACAAGCCTAGCCTATAGACTAGAGGGATCAAATTCAGTGAATGTTCCTAATGCCCTCTTAATCTTCATAACTCATTATGAAATACCACACATAGTAGTCACCAATAATGAAACAGAATTTAAGAATGAACCTAAACAGGAATTTGTAAATACACATAAGATATCTATCCATTATACTACCCCTGATAACCCATAATCCAACATGATGATAGAAAGATTCCACTCCACCATTATCGAACACCTGAGGATACTTCGAGAAAATAAAAAATCCTTAAGCGTAAAAGAACAAATGCCATATGCACTTTTTGGATACAATAATTCTATCCATTCAATGCCAAACATGCGACCAATGGATATATTGACTGGTCACCTGGATGCGCGTTTGATGTTGACGTCAGGAAAACACTATAAATAATCATACCCAGCAACACAGGGAAAAACCAAAGACTATCTACAGGAAATTGAATCGAAAGCTACATGAATCCAAAGACAATTACATACGAAAAATAAACATAACCAGGCAAACCCCCCTCACCCACAAATCTAGCACGAAGATCTACATTAGGGAAACTGTAAAGCGGAACAAACTATTTCCAAGATTTACTCCCAAGAGAGTGAACAGTGACAATATTATATTATAATTGACTATCTGTAAGTTTCTCATTTACTTCTTTTTAAAAAAATTCCAAATTTTCCTACCTTGAACAATTAATGTAATAATAATTTTTCCAGTGGAATTTTTTTTTTGTTTCCTATTTTTATTCCAGATTTATTGGGAATTATGTTTTGTTGTATATAAGATTTTGTTTTCTGGACTTTGGTTTTATAATAATTCCAGGTAATGAATTTGATAATTTTGTTTCAGGTTTTTTTCGATGTGCTTTTACGATGAGTGCTTAACTTGTTTTATCTTCGGAAAGATACTGTGGACAGTTCAAAATGTACGTGGACAGATGCGACCTGACTAACTTTTCTTTCAACGGTTGTTTTTTGGTGCTACTGACTCATGGACAAAAATGTCAGAATCTCAAGGTTCTTGTTTGGTTCTCAAAAACCTTGCAATTTCAAATGGATAACAAAATATTTACCAAGAGAAAAATAACGAATTTCCATTTTCCTCTTAGTAAGGAAGTGCGGATTTAGTAAACTAGTATGCACATAGTGGTATACAACAAGCGACAACCATGAGAAGAAACTTTCCAGATTTCGTCTCTGATAGTCAACTTTCAAAAAAGAGTTTTCCAATTTCGTACTTACTTGTGGTGTAAATACATTCAACAGTAAACAATCCTCATTTTCCAGGTCGCTGTCTTGGTAGAGCTGATAGCACCAAACTTGTTTTTCCTGGCTACCATCGTGCACTATCGTCCAGGGATCGATGGGTTCTGATACCTAGATATTTTCATAGTTTTTCCACCTATGAATTGAGTAGAAGAAATAAGACAGTTCTACAACCTTCGAGGAAATGACGTCATTAGGTAATATATAACATAACCAAAAGAATATAGGTGGCGCTGACAGGCAGTGTTGCCAGGTCATATTTTGTTATGTTAGTAGATTACCAGTCTAAATATCAGTAGACAGATAAGTTGCCTTGTTAAAGAGGTAAACCATTAGGGTATACTCAATTAATTATTTTAACTAGTTATGTTTTTTCAAATCATTAAATCATTAGACTGTGTATTAGACTATGAAAACTTGCATTAGAAAATCAAATACCAATACTACTTATGAGAAATAGTTTATTAAGATTAAGACGATTAAGACATGAGATATTCCTAATAAATATGCACTACCTATGGGATGCCTTAAATTTGGTTCTATATTCTTAAAGAGTACAATTAGTTTGTCTATATTTGGTTGAGCCGGTTCCAACATATTTGGTTCTGAGAATTTTAAAAATACTATCAGAGAAAGCAAGTACTTATCTCTCAAATTTTACCTGCAGCTTTCGCCTGTACAGTAGAATGGTACACAAAATCAGTAGTAGGATAGTATTTTTACAATTTTTGGAGCCGAATATATGAGAGACTGTTCAATCAAATATAGACAAACTATATATTTTTGGAATCGGGGCATTATGCTCTTCAAGAATATAAAATGAAATATAGGGCATCCCATTTGAAAAAAGCTGGAAGAATGCAAAATTTCACATTTCTGACATTCAAATTTTGTTTCTGATCATGGTTTCTAAAAATTCAGCTAAAACTGTACAACTTTTGTATTTGCACCTTTCTTCTACCTGTTAAGGTAGAGAAGGTAGGTGGAGTGTCAATATATAAAAAAAAAAACCTGTACAAATGAGTGGATTATTGCGGAACTCATGGGTGAACCTCTGCGGAACGAGCGCAGCCATCGACTCACCAATATACTGTTGAACTATTCAAAAAAAAACACTCCCCGAAACGTGTAGTTTTTGAACTGATGAGAAAAATTCATAACTGTGTGAATCAAGTTAGTATTGTACTTGAACAACATATTACTGGTTAGATGGCTGGGTCCACTCATAAGTTCCGCAACAATCCACTCGCTTGTACTTGAATAACTTGTCCCAATATATTACTAGTTTGGTAAAGTAACATTACTAATTCCTGTTGAAAGGCGAATTGACAAAAAGTGAATAATCATAATCTTACAAATTCTGACTTTATATAATAAATTATTGTTCAAGTACAAATAAGTGGATTGTTGCGGATTTTGTGGGTGGACCTCTGCGGGCCGAGCGCAGCGAGTTCCGCAGCCATCTACTCACCAAGATACTGTTGAATTGTTCAAATAAGACATTCACCTGAAACATGTAGTTTTTAAACTAATGAGAATAACTCACATTTGAGCGAGTCAGGTTAGTATCGTAATTAAACAACATATTGATGAATAGATGTCTGCGGAACTCGCTGCGCTCGTCCCGCAGAGGTTCACAAATAAGTTCCGCAACAATTCATTCATTTGTACTTGAATAACTTGTCACAATATGTTGCTAGTTTGGTAAAGTAACATTACTAATTCCTGTTGGAAGGCGAATTGACAAAAAGTGAATAGCCATCTAATCACCAATATACTGTTGAATTGTTCAAATAGGACATTTACCTGAAACATGTCGTTTTCAAACTAATGAGAATGACTCACATTTGAGCGAGTCAGGTTAGTATCGTAATTAAACAACCTATTAATGAATAGATGACTGCGGAACTCACTGCGCTCGTCCCGCAGAGGTCCACAAATAAGTTCCGCAACAATTCATTCATTTGTACTTGAATAACTTGTCACATTATGTTACTTGTTTGGTAAAGTAACATTACTAATTCCTGTTGGATAATCTCACAAATTCTGGCTTTATATAATAAGTTATTGTTCAAATACAGAGAGTAAAAAAAACAAAAGTTGTACAGGATTAGCTAAATTTTTAGAATCCATGGTCAGAAACAAAAATTGAATGTCAGAAATGTGAAATGTTGCATGTTTTCAGCTTTTTTCAAATGGGAGTACCTATGCAGTAATCTAGTTTTATAAAAACAGGTAAAACAGGCTGCAGTTAGTTGTACAGCATAACGCTATGTGACCAATTGACTAACCAACAACAACGCATGTCTTTACGCAACTGGCAAGACAAAAGGCAAATGAAGTAGAATTTACATTGATATCAGTATATCAGTAGACCAGTGGCCAAATTAGTAGACCTATTGATAAATCTGTAGACCTGGCAACACTGCTGACAGGTTGCAGAACTGTCTTATTCCTTCTACTCATCCACTTACCAGGAACCTTCTGGATCCAATTGGTGGCTTGGCATAGGGAATGCTGTAGTAGGCGTAGTAACTTTTACCTTCGAATGTTTCTTCTGTGGTGCCCCTGATTGGTCCGTCAGGAGTGGTCACTTGTTGGGCCTGAAATTTTTCATGAATGAAGACAAATGAAGTTGAACTGTCAATTTTTTTTACCAATGAATCACTTGCAACAAATAGCAATAAAAATACCACTTCAGTTACCATTTTGATCAAAAATAAGACTCAGCTTTTGGTGGTCTAGATTATATATTATTTGAAAACAAACACTTATTTTGAATTATTTTTCAAGTAGATTAAAATAGGCCTGTTCACTTTGATTGATAAGTTTATTTTTGGTTTGATGACATAAGTAATATTTGATGGAAAATATTTTCAAGAATCAGCTTGTAAACTCCAGAATGATGAGAAGTCTGAGTGTTATGCTCCTCAAGTTCAATTGCAACTGCTTATGAAATTTTCAAGCTACTTAAGTCAAAATTTCATTTCTACGAGGGTCAAAGACAAGGTTCAAATAGCTCTAGGTTAATTTCGACTCTAGAATGGTTTAATATAAGCTGTAGGTGAACCAGTCATAGGATTAGAAGGTATGTCGAATTTAAGCTCTAATAGGGTCAAATATCAGCTTCTCGAAACTTATTTCTTTCACTTTATAGTCAGTACTCGACATGTTATACTTTTCTAGTGTAAATTTCTCAGTTCTAGGAAAGTCAATATTGTTAAAAAATAGAAACCAAACAAAGCAGTAGAATTGGAATTAAATTTTTCCAAGAATCTCCCTGTTCAGCGACACGACAATGTAATAATTGTAAGTTAATAGAGACCGGGAGACATTAAAAAGACAGAAAAGGCACTTGAAATAAAGCCATGTAATGGGCGACTAATTGAAAAATAACTTGGAAACGATGCCGCCAAATTAGGGGGCGCCGCAAAATAAATATCTTTTAATTATTATTGTCGAGACACATTTTTGAAGGCCTCGTATATTTTTAGTTCTCGTTAAAAGCTGCATAATTTAGGGTGAGATTGTCCTCATTTCTCATATCTCCTTTTCTTAAGTAAATACCATTATCTAGAATCCAAAAAAAAAAACTTCTATCTACCTTTTCCCTTGACTGAAAAAACAGCCCTCAAAAGACACACCACCACTAATTGAACCTCTTATTGCCCGTCATCTTCAACCGAAAGCGCTGATTTTCATCTTTTACTCTTTTTTTTTTTTTAAAGGGAAAAAAGTGCCAGGGGCGTCATTAGCGTAAATGAAGCTTACTTGAAGTGAGGGCCTAATTCTGATAAATAAAGAAAATGGTAACGATAAAATGAAAGCCGACATCTGGGCAAATTATAGACATCGAGTCGAAGTCGCCCTATTTTTTTTTTTTTCACTGAGTAAAAAATGTTGGTATTTACTTCCTACGCTCGATTTGTTTCGAGAGGGTTGTTTTTAGTTGGGGTAAGCTAATGAAAAACAGAAACAGTTAGTCAACTAATAGGTGCGCAAAAGGGATACTTTTCAACATGCAATGGCGTATGACCAACAAATTTTCAAGGGCGGAAAAGATTAGTAATCCTAATTTAGATTTGTATCATATTAGGTATAAATATTGAATCAGCTGTTTTGGCCGAAAACTCTCAGAGGTTTGTTCCAGTTTAAGAGAATGCCTTTTAGTCTTTTCAACGCCCCTGCAACGTTTAGTTGACACTCAAGTCAAAACTTTGGACTATCGACTCTTGATTGCTTTCAGAAAACTATCAACTTTTAAGTTTGAGCAATTAAGTATTATTTTACCAATGTCAAAGTTACTTTATTAATAAGAAGATAAATATTCTCGAGGAAAACAACCCAAGACTCCTACACTTTCCGGTTATGAAATTAAGGTACTTTACGGATTTAATCTTACCTTAGCGCTAATATACGTAACAAAAGTTTCACAATAAATCTGGAGTATTCTTGCGCGGGGTCGGTGGAAATGCGTGCCTCTGTACACTAATAATTATACCTAAGATTACATGCCTAACATCCTAATTAGTGATTTTTTTTTTTTTTCGATATACTAGTTGGCAACAGTGTAAATTGTGGCTCGTGCCTGGTGGTAATACCTTTGAATTTCTTTTTTATCAACCATCTGCCTGCTGTTTACCTTTTATTTTTGGGCCCATATAGATCAGATTAAACCACTTAAATTATACAGAGTGTTTTTCATTGGCAAATAATTATAATTATTATTGGATCATCCAGATCTAATCAAGATAATAATTAACTTCGTGTGTTATCGACTAAATCTATCGGATCCAATTAAGGCGGCTTTATTCCCTAATCGACCGGTTAATTTAACAAATAAAGGGGGCAAAAGTCAGAACAACCTAATTTTCTGTCAAAAGTAGCCAAATTTAGACCCTCCTGGTTATTTTGAAGCCGATTGACAGTTATTGATGTTAATGTTTACTAACAGAGGAACTGAAATTAGTGGCTCTAATAACTAAAAGTCAGACAGATATATTAGTCATATAGCCCTACTGATGTTTATCGCCCTTACTGCAGGAAAAATGCGTCATTTTATAGGGACAGATGTTGCCAATTTTTTTGATTGGAATTGCAGACGATGAGTAATTTTATTTGCTATAGGAGAAACTGAAAATGGAAAAGGATTTTTTGTATTCTGATGGATGAATAGGTAAGACATCGAGGAACTTTCTCAAGAGATCCGCAGAATATAAACTGATTCAGGGAAAAACAACTTTGGCTGAATAATACACAACAGCAAGAGAAGGTTATGAAACTTCTAAACACTTATTTTTCCGGCTCAAATACAGGGTTAGCAATTGAGCGTCTTTTTTTGTGTGAGTATACAGGGTGGCCCAAATAAGCATGACAACATAAAAATTAGGTTGCCATATCGGGTTGTTGCTGCTGAGCCATGGGTTCAATGATATTCGATGGTATTCCGGATATATAAAGTCATTCAAGCGAAGTCCTTGATAAACTTCCTGTAATATCCAAGGAGGCCTGGTAATCCTCGGATTTTCTTGGTGATTCTTGGTATTGGATAGTCAAGTATGGCTTTAATTTTAGCCGCATTTGGTGTTACAATATGTCCAAGAAAGGCAACTTCCTTTTTTGGGAACTCGCATTTGTCTATTGGAATTTTGGATCCAGTTTCTCTGAGACGTTGAAAGATTCTTGAAAGATAAAACAAAATTCTCTCGAAGTGATGTGCTGAATACAATGATATCATCCATCTACACTAAGCAATATTCTCCTTGGAGGCCTTTCAAAATGTTATCCATTACCCTCTGGAACGTAGCTGGAGCTTTTTTTAGGCCAAACGGCATCGGAACATACTCGTAATGGCCATTTTTTTGAAAGCAGTTTTGCATATGTTCCTTAGACATTTCGATTTGGTGGAAACCATTTGCCAGATCCAAGGTCGTGAAGTACTGACATCTACCAAGGTTGTTTGGAATTGGATATTTATCGTCGATAGTTTTCTCGTTTACTTTCCTATAGTCCACTACTATCCGCCATTTAATTTTTCCGGAGGCCTCTGGTTTTTTTTTGGAACTATCCATATCATGGAAGATCAAGGTGATTAGCTTGGTCTGATAATTCCTTGATGATTGGTGTAGACTGGAATATAATTTTTTGTTTTAATATGGTGTTTGATCTGGTTTGGAAAGGTCAGGGACATGTCTGAATAATGGAAAATGTCTACATACTTCCTACATAAAGCTTCTATTGCCTTTTTTTTCTCTAAATTTAGGTGATTTCAGGAATCTCGCATAACGGAGATTCTTGGAAAATTAGGTAGATCTATGGTGTAGATATGAAATTGATCAAAGACCAACTGCGTGCTAATGGCTGGACTTGGCAGAGCTATCTGAAGTTCTTCATCGGTTGTACAGGCACATCACTGTTAACAACACAGAAATGAACAGCATTATTGCAAAGTGGAATGTATGCCTATCCGCATTTTCCCGAAAAAAGTGAACAAGAACCTAACAGAAGAAGAAACGACTTGTTTTTTGACTCGAGTTTTTCAGTTAAAGAATGCCCATTCAGGAAATACTTAAGAAATTTTTAAAATAAATTTACTGTAGCCAAAATATATAAAAGCATGCGTGATGCGTGTGTATTTTCACTCAAGAGTTTATTGTTTCATATCGACACTCTGTATAATATGTATACACAACACACTACCAAGACCTCCCACATATCGCAACCCAAAACCTATTGGCAGATGATGGGTGAACCGACCGAAAACAATAATAGCAGCTTGCACTCCGAAAAGCATATAAACAGAGTGAACCTACCCTAACACCCTCAAATTAAAGGCGGCTTTTCAAATGTTAATAAATTAATTGGCTGTGTTGGTGCGGTGCAGTGTATCTGCGATTCTAACCGACGCGGGCCGATCCGTGCGTCAGGACGCCCGATAGGGAGTTTGGGACACTCGAGGACGTCAGTTTATTGTTGGGACGTCGTCGGGACGGCGATTCGAGTACGACGTCGCGACGTCGGGAAACTTACGAAAAAAGATCGCACGGACAACACTTGTTTTTATTTATGATGGGAGTTTGTGTATTATTTTTTATTTATTTTTTTTGAGTGAAGATGGTTTTGGATTTGAGTGATTTTTGAGTGGTGCTTTTTTTTTGTTGTGGTGCAGGAATCATGGGGAGGAATTACGTGATTTTATGGGTTGCAGTGATCATTCAAGGTGAGCAAAACTTTTTTGGAAATTTTTTCAAACTTTCAAAAAAAACTTTAGCTATACAATATAGTAGAAACCAAAATTGATTTTGATTATCAAAAGCTGAAAAATTATCATGTTTTTTTTTAATTTTTGACAACCTATAACATTTTTTTTTTTTGAGACAACTTGAAAGCTCAAATTTGAAGTCCTAAATGTTCCCAACCAGCACAAGCAAATTTATTTGTGTCTCAGAAAATTAGTCACTTTCACAAGTTCAAATGCTCATAAAATATAGATAAAGAACTCAATCAAAAGTTTCAGTCGACATCTACCAGGGTCAGTTGATAAATAATTGAAAGCAAATTAGGATCCTAATTAACAGGCTTGTAGAGGATTTAATTGGCTTTTATTGGAGATTGAATACATTGAAATCGGATAAAAATTGACGGACCTATGAGGCAAAAACTGTCTCAGTGTGATTTTTGGAAAATTTTCAGTACATGATAATTTCAATTTTGCAGACTCTCATGTGTAAAACAGT